GTGTGTGTCTGTGTGTGTCTGTGTGTGTCTGTGTGTGTTAAAGCACTACACTAATATCAATGCTGTGCTGTTTGACACCACACACATGCGGTAACAACGGCTCCTTGTGCTGCGCTGCGTCAGGGATGCTCCTGCAGGAGGCTCTGAGGAGGAGATGCTCTGTGATGTTTGACAACATCAGACCCATTTCAATGTGGTCCAGCGGTGGGTGGGACCGAGAGGGGCCCAGGAGGAGGGAGGCGGGCCCTGGAGTGGTGTGATTCCTGAGGCACACAGACTCAACAATTGGGAGGCGGAGCTCTGCGAAGATGGTTTTTACTATGAGTTTAACCCTTTCAGAGAGACGCGCACGTGCACACGCACTGTTTGGTAGTTTCATTCCCTGGAGGCAAACCCTGACCTGACCACCACCATACATACATTCATTCATTCATTCATTCATTCATTCATACATACATGCATACATGCCTGGCAGGGGTGTAGCCAGGAATTCTGACAACCTGGATGTGATTATCTCAGGGGCCCCTGTGATGCAGCACGAGAGTTCACAAGATTAGACACCAACAGAATAAATTCTAAATATTCAAATACAAACATGAAATATTTCAACAATGAATATCGATACAACACAAGTGTTAATATCTTGAATATGTTAAAATGAAATGTGCAGGATGTGAAGAAATCATCTTCTTCATCATCATCATTTCATTTCACCACGCCTTTCTGAACACCTTGAGAAAATCAAGTATAAATGTATATATTTACTACATCTAGTGATAAATATCTATGTATTTAAACGTTGTGTATGGATCTGTGACTCAAATCTGCAGCTGAAAAAATGCAAAGATGACAGTAAATGTCCGTGACCCACTTTCAAAGCATTGTGTCCTCAGTGAAGAGCTACGAACCGGAGACGATGAGGAGTTCGGGAGTTCAGCACATTTTTGGCGACGGCACGAATGAACTTTATATCCATCCTGGAAATGTGTGGGCTCTGTTTGGCTGCTGATGTTTAATCATCACTTCACCTCTCTGGTGATGTGGCCCCTCGTCAGTTCAGCTGGGGTTGAATCAAAATACAATAAAAACCGACTGTTTCATTAAGTAAACACAAGTTCCCCACTCCGCTGGTTTTAGGCCAAACCTGTGTCCACAGATGTGGCCTCTGACCGTGTATGAGACCATCGGCAGCCGATCTGACCAACGTTCATTGTTTGAGCAACTGAAGCAGATCCGATCATTTGGTTTATGCAGAGCCGTAGTTGCACCAGTGAGTATAACAACCCTAATAAAATCTAAACCAAAGTCATTAGCGTTTATCTTCATATAACCACTTCCCTGGTTTGTCACCTCTCACACTGAAAACGAAACATGAAAAAAAAACCCTACACATGTTTAACCAGGTTCAAAGTCTCGGTTCCAGTGATTCTGTAAGATAGTTTACAACGAGATTTACATTGACAGAGGAGGAGATAACGCTCATCTGAAGAGATAAAGCTTAAAAACAACGACCTTGAACCGAGCCAGAGCGTAGAGCCTCAGGAACGTCACAGTTCAGATTAATCCAGATGTTTCTGTGAACGCACGTCGAAGGGAAATCATTTGAATGTTGACACAGGTTTAAAACAACAAGAGGCTGAAGCACATCAGAGGAGATGTATTGATAAGTAAATACATTGACCCTGCGACTATCACAGGAAGGTTTAGAGATTCGGATAACATGGAGCCCCCCGGCCCCCCCCCTTTGCATGGTCTTTATTGACCAGCTCCGTTTGACCATGTGCGCTCGGATAAACGTGCACAAACAATAGAAACGTCAAAGATGAGTGGAGTCTGGAGCTGAACACAGCACGTGAGGGATTCACAGAGAAAACAACAACACTGGGTCTGTGTCTCCGCGGTCTGGACTGTGATTATAGAGTGTGTTACCCTGCTGCTGCACTTCACACTTCACACAAGCTGCGGATGAAAGTCAAGCAACGAGGCCGAGGTCGTCACGCTGCAGAGAACGTGGCTCAGATGTAACGCACAGATTGTTTACCTGCTAAAGAAATAATGTAGAAATACTCCACTACAAGTTAATGTGGCTTCTTTCAAAACAATGTTGAACAGTCGCTCCCTGTGTCTGACGTATGGTCGTATATTATTATTACCCCCGATGCTGCGGCGTCAATTTATTTTACTGTTGTTGCTGCTGGAATTTGAGTTGCTGTGGTTTTAACTACTTAACAAAACAGGCAGCTTAGTCCAGATGTTCACAGCTGGGCACATCTCAGGGGTCATGAAATGATTTGTGGGGGTACACAAAGGTAGTAATTGCAGTCTGTGATCTATAATCAGATACTGCAGTAATACAGTATTTAAGGTACTTGTTCTACTTCCATTGTATGTCAGGCTACTTCAGAAGGAACTGTACTAAACTACTGCAAAGTATTTTTTAAACCTTTATTTATACTCGAGGAATAATTTAAGTTGTGTCACACCGACTGTACGACTGTACATCGAGCTGCGCTTGATAACAACTGACAAGGAATTTTCCGGCCTCTTGCTAAAACTGGGTGAGCGGCTACGAAACATGAGACGTGTGCTCGTCAGGGTTGACCTCTGACCTCTCGATGAGATGTACTGTGAGGCCTGCTCGCCCCTGCATCCTGCTCCTCGGCCTCTCGTCCACCCTGTTATGAATCGGTGACCGAGCAGACGGGTCGCGCTGCGGGGACGGAGAGCGGCATTAATAGAAACAAGGAGTTCAGATGAGGTTAAATTCCTGTCACTGTCTTTTATTCACGAGAGCGGAGAACACACCCCTCTACTACAACTTCTCTCTCTCTCCATATGCACAATCTCCCCCCCCCCTCCCCCCGCTTCAGCCTCTGTAAACAGTTTCTGGTTCTTCCAGTATGCTTGCCCGCCCGCACAATCCCTCTCTCAGTCGCTGCTTCGCCTGACAAAACAAACGGCAACTGTGTGTTGGCTGCAACTGCTTCACTCTGTCTCCGTCTTCCACAGAAGGTCAGATCAGGTTCTCCCAGATGCAGCTTTTGGCTCCTGTTCAACACATACAGCAAAGCCAGGCGGACGGGGGGGGGGTGGGCGGACGGGCCTCATTCTTTGGGGCGAGAGTGGGCGGGTATGGCTCAGAAACCATAAGAGAGAGAAATATTTCAGACGTTAGATATTTGAATCATAATCCTGAGTGGGTTCGCTCCTGCAAAATGCCACCCTGCCGGCTCGGGGACAGATTTCTGGACTGCTCGGCTCTAACTGTGTCTTGTGCACGTGCGGCTCAATAAATAACCCACTTCTCGGGTTTGTCATCACCTTGGCCCTGGAAAAGGAGATAAGGTGGACGCGGTGATGAAAGGGGACGAAACAATAAAAGGCCACGTGGGGGGGGAAAGGGTTGGAAGACGCCCTGAGCAGTTATCAAGTGAAGGCCGAGCGAAGGCCGGCCACTCAGATATGAGTGAGTAGTAGTACAGGAAAAGAAAGTGGGTGAAACTGTCGGGGGGGGGGGGGCCCTGCAGATTCACAGCAGATTTGTACCTCTCGTGTTTGTTTAGGTGTTGAGCCGGATGTGGCTGCGTCAGGAGTTACATTCATCTGTATTGCAGCCTTCGTTTCCCCCAGCATGCTTCACACCGACCATGAGGTGAAACATTATTATCTGACGGCCACACTCTTGCTCTCATCAGAGCGTCGATGCCTCTTGCAGCTGACTTCACTCTCCCATCTGCCTTTTGGCAAACTGCTGCAGAGACCTCACGTGAACATTTGTCTCTGCACCGTCTCTCCCCTCTCAGCCTCGGCCTCCCCCCTCACTCGCCTCCTTCCTACACACTCGCTCAAATATGTGAGGACGGCCGCCTCCAGAGTGATTTACAGCTGCTCTGAGCTACTTTTCTAAAATGTTCTTCTTAAGCTGTCCTGGAAAACAGACCCATCATGAGACACAGGTGATCTCCATGGGACTGACTACATTACATTGTGTTTTCAGTCAATCTGAGTCAAAAATAAATAAATAAATCTGCAATAGATCCACCGTGTTTAACAACAAAGAGGGAGAAGTGCGATGAAATCCCCTGCAGCGAGAGGATTTGGAGAAAAAGACACAAAAAAAACAAAACACAGGAGATGAGGAGTAAAAGAGAAGAATTGCTGGAACTTATTCAAGAACTACAGGCTGCAGCTGAAACATCACAGTCACATGAGGACAGTGGAGAGGCTGCAGATGCATGTGTCGTAGGCCCTCTAGTGTCCACACGAGTCCCGTGCAGTCAAACACTAAGAAAGAAGGAATTACTGTCAAACATCCACACTGATTTACGTTTCAGTTCTTTTTTTATTCCCTTCTTTTTTTTGTGTTAGAATGTAAACTATAATTTCACTATATTGAAGTTCCTCATACCTCTCAGACTGAGTCGATTAAGAAACAGGGAGAGGTACGAACTTTACAGATCAACACCACAGGAAGTGAGATGCTGTGATTAAAGCTGGAACACAGGAACAGCTGAAGCCACCTCCTCTTCCTCCTCCTCCTCCTCCTCCTCCTCCTCCTCCTCCTCCTCATCAATCTGAAAACACTGATTAGAAGCACATTGAAATGTTTTAGAACAAACGAAGTCTCTCCTGAATTGAAATATACAAGTTCATCTGATGTGTGACGAGATGTTCGGGGAAATAAGAAGCAGGGAAAAGGCTCAACTCATGAATATGTCAGTGTGTCATTACCTAAAGATCCTGGTGTGTACCTAATTCTGCACATTACCGGAAATTGTACTTTCTGTTAACGGAGCAAAATCTAAATTAATATAAAGATATGTCGATTGATCTGCAGCAAAAGAAGGTAAAGTGTCTCTATTACTTCACCAACTCACAGCGACAATAAATAACAAACTGTTTGTGTGTTTCCATGATAACATGATGAAAAATAAGTGTTTTCATTGTCGACATTATGTGACGGTGAGCGTACTAACCTTGTTACGAATGTCACACATTCGTCAATATCTGTTCCTTGATGAAGGAAATGATATGATATCTTCTCCTGCCCCGCGACACTCTTCTCTGCGGCCGTCGGAGCCTTCGTCCTCTGAGCTCCCTGTGTCAGAGTCCTCGTCGTCCTCTGCAGGAATCGTAATCATGAAAGAAAGGGTTTGAAAAACAAGGGATGAGGTTTGCTCAGGACTTTTAGCTTTTCGTTTGTGTGTGTCTGACTTACCGGCGCCCCACAAACTATCACTCGCCATCCTCCTTCTGGCGTTTTCAGCCTCCTGCAGGGGCGACGACAAGATTTCACACATTCGTCAATATCTGTTCTCTTAGCCTGAGTGTTAATCTCTAGTCTGAACATCTGAATTTGAATTGTGCTATATAGTTTTCTCGGCCTGCAGATTATAGAGGGACACTCAGTTGTCACAGCTCTTACAAGTGCTCCCACTCCTTTAAGTCACGCTCACATGGTTGTTGGATGTCTAGAGATCGCTGTAACTAGAATAATGATGTTTCAAGGCAGTTCAGATCATGAGAGAAGGATAAATTACTCTCTCATTAGAACCGTCCGTAGAGTAACCTGCCAGATTTTCTATTTTTATATGTTTTCAAATCCAAACCTCACATACCTGAAGCTTCTGCTGCTCCACTTTGTTGTACTGATCCATCAGAGAATCCAGGTGAGTGAGGCACCTGAACTTAATCGCATAGTTCTCATGAGCTTTTTCCAGTTGTGCCTCGATCTCCTCGTATTCGTCCATGTACACCGGCCTGAAAAATAATGAGGAACAAAAAATTACTTTGCACGCACCAACAAGCTGCTGAACATAGACGTCCAAATATTTTCTGCAAGTTGAAGAAAGAAAACTTCAAGACGGCTGAAGTCATCGATAAAACTCAAGTTAAATGAAGCAGAGTTTAAATAACTGTCCCGTCATAAACTGACCTGATGCTCTGACATGTCTGAAGTCTCATCTGAGTCCACTCCACCTCCTTCATCTTTCTCTCGATCTTAGCGTCCAGAATGGCTGCGTCAGACTCAACGCTACGCAGCAAGTCTGCGGTCTTCTCTGCACTCGACTGGGAAATAAACACAAAGACAAGTTGTGGCATTTCATGGAAATGTTTGAATTTCTTAAAAGATGAAGATTTTCTGGATGAAAACGAACCAAAACCTCCTTGATGGCGGCTCTGAAGGCCTTTTGGGTCTCGTTGATGTCCAGAGGTCTGGTGATGGCAGCTGTTCTCTTGTTCTGTTGGGACATTGCAAACAAGGAGTCAGGAAAGACTCTGGTGTGTTTGTACTTCACCATCGTGCTGCTGTTCTCATCAACTGCAGCAACAAAACCCACATCAACAGAGAAGTAAAGTGTGAAAAGATCACCAGACGTATTACCTTTTCTATAACATTCTTCAAACAGTAAAGTGATTTATCTCAAATATCCAAATGTGGACTCCAGGTGAAGGGGAGTGGAAACCAGCGTGTCAGTAAATGTCTGTGACTCCTCACCCTGAGAGACACCTCTTCTCTCAGTAAATCACACAGAGAGGCTCCTGAAGCCGTGACCTCGGACGTCAGCTGTCGAACTGCTTTCAGATCAGACATCTACAGAGAAGACAGAGTGAGACACAGTCAGACGCACACACGGTGGTATTTCCTGAGTATAATGTCACACTAACAGTAAATTCTATGGGGGAAAAACATGCTTGTACTTTTTAAACCAAGTAATGAAATAAAAGTTAAAACCTACTTATAATTGTTATTGCTCAGACTCCTTACAGCTCACAGCTTTTTAAACTGAAGATAAAGAAACATGGACGTTAACATTACGCAGCATAAAACCTGCATCTCACCCATGAGCCGCAGTCGAACTTGAACTCCCTGTCAATCACTTCGACTCGGTCCTCCGCGGTCGTGTGCTCGTTATTCAAAGCAGCGTAGAGCTGAGAGGAGATTTTTAACATCTCTCTCACCGCATAGCCATCGGCCTGGTAGAGATGCTTCAGGTTGAGCTGTATTTGAGCCTTCGTCACCATGAACTGGGCCACAGCTCGGACGAACGTCACCCTGGCTGTCTCTGAGGCCACATCGGTGGGAATGTTCACGTGGGGCTCAAAGCTACGTGGGGGAGCAAAGTAAGACGAGAATTATCACATTATTCTCTGATCCAACCCACATAGTACAATTGTATTGGCCAAGATTAAGCCGACACACTACGTTGAATGATGGCACTGGAACGGTCCGCTCCTGTTTGCCGGAATTGGGCCTCAGGTAAGCCACAGCATGTCTACTCAAAGTCTTAAAGGTGGCTCGAATTTGTTTTGTGCTATTGGGCCGTACTTGTCATTTACCTCATGGGCAGAGAAGGCCTACCGCCTGTTTACCAACATGTGTCTGGGATATTTGAGTCACGTTTGCTCTTTACAAAACGGCAACTTTAGGCTAACAACCATTTTGTCCGAGCCGCAAGAAGGCAAGTCGTGCCGCATCGCAGCCTGAAGTGGCCCACATCCATACAGCAAGTAAAAACATCGGATCCACTCCAGAGTGCAAGAAACAAATCATCACAAGTTTCAGGACTTTTTAAACTTGGAGGATGCAGGACGTGTAACGTTCCGTCATACCTCTTGACGAGCCATTTGAGGACGTCTGCCAGCAGAGGGAAGTTTGGTCGCCGGAAGCTCTCCAGAGAGATCAACCTGGGGTAGTCCAAGGCCCTCATCTGTTCAATGAAATCTGCCAGAGAAGAGGTAAGGCCAGTTATTGACAATACACACACAAGCAACAACTGTTTATTACACACAATGGGCAGCATACAGCAAACCTGACTTACTTCTTATTTCTCTGAAGGACATATTGACTGGCTCCTCCACTGGCAACAGGTAAGATATACATTTTAACACAGGAGTTATTGACAGTTGAGCCCAATTGACCTTGAAAAGAACAAACTGAATCAATCGGAAAATGTTTGATGGTTTTTAACAAACCTGATGAAAATTGTTTACGAACGCTGGGCTGCTGAAACGCTTTGTTGAATTAGCTCATGATGCTAATTTATGATGCTACTTCTGTAAACCTGATAAAAATGTCAAAGCTAAATCAAAGGAATGTGATGAAACCAACTATCATCAAAGGTACTGAGAAGAGGGTGTGTCTCTCTCTCGCTTTCTGTTTTCTTCTTCTTTGTTCCGATTATTGGCGGCAACCAACATCAACTGTGTCTCTGAATGTCTGCAGCGATCAGACACCATTCCCATATTAAACAATTACAACATTTTTAAAAATGCAGAAAAGACAGAATATTAGTGTAAATATTTGAAAGTAAGTTGTTTCTAAGTAGAAATGTGGCCAAGAAAGAACATTTTGACATTTGAATGGTTGAAATTGGTTGAAGTAAGAACCAAGAACAATAAAAAATAATATTACTATAGTCAGCAGTCACACAAATAAATGCACACAGCAGATTTATTATGAGATGCCTTTATTGTAGTTTTTGGAATCCAGTGACACCGACACGAGAAAATGGTCCTATCCTTCCCTCCCCCCTTACATACACAACCTGAGGGAGGGGCTGCAGGGTGGGATGTTCCGCAATCCCGCTTGTAGTCTTAAATTAAACACAGAGATAATAGCAAAGACACATCCAGGTGCATTTCCACAGACACGCACGACATGCATTCAAAAAGGGATAAAGGGGAACGCAGTGACTCCTGGTTCACATGTACGTGTTGTCTCAAAGTAAAAGATGACAAAATTAATTCCATTTTAAAAAACAGTTAGCTGTCTTAATGGCCCACGATCAGTCTATAATTCAGGCTCTGTCAATTATCCACTTACAGGAGAAAACAAAAAGGCAAAGAGACACTACTACTCATACAGGGAAAATGGTTTAAATATGGAAGTGGAGAGTTCATATCTTTCATATTTTTTTTTTTAAATTGGTTTTTAATTCATTGTATACTTTAATGAGAATACAATTGTCTCACTAAAAATCAGCTCATCTAGGTAAAACTAGGCCCTTTCCACTGTCTCCCTGCTGTGTCTAAGTAAAATATATTAAGTCCAGTAAGGGGCTCAGTGGGCCTTGGTCCAATAAGGAGTGGTTCACTTCAGTCATCATCGCTGCCACTGGCCGAACGCTCCTGAGAGAAAAAACACAAAGGAAGCACAGATTTACTGACGTTATTCAACACAAGTACACAACGTCTGTTTGGAATGGTCTGAGTTCTTGGCCTGGGGTGATGCTGGTTGCAGCTCATTCAATTCATAACATTTATAATTTGACAATAGTGAAAAATACCTAGTCCAAAGTGATGTCAGAGCTCGAAACAGAAAGTTTTATATAAGTTTTAAATTTGCAAGAAGCAGAAGATTTGAGAAGCTGCAAGAAGTGAATGTTTGGCTGAAGTGATTCATTAATAAAATCTTAATTAAGAGTTCTACATTTTGAACTTTATTTACTACAATTAAGTAAAAAAAACTCGTCTCACCTCTTCCTGTTCCTCCTCACTGTCGTCGTCGCTCACCACAGGCTTAGCTCGAGCCCCGCGGCCCCTTCGTCGTTGTCCTTTTCCTCCGCGGTCCCCCTTTTCTTTCCGGCTCAGCTTGATCTTCACTTTCACTGAACGAGCTGAAGGAAAAACAAAGAACATAAACATCACAATGCCAACTCCTGCTTCACTGTTCTGTGAAGAAATGCTGCATTTCTCATGCTCACATTCAGACTCCGAGCCTTCGTCCAACTCCTCCTCCTCTTCTTCACTTTCCTCTCCTTCGCTCTCGTCCTCCTTCTCGATCTTCTGCCTCACACTGGTGAAGACAGACTGCAGCACAATGGAATCCTCGTAGATCTAAAAAAAAGAAAAGAAGAGAGATTAAAAAATTATATTTTATAATTATTATTATTTAGGCTTCTTCTTAATCATGGTGAGTTTTAAGCCTAGTTCACACGACACGATTTTCAGCCATGCAAGTCAAATAAAGCCCCAGATCAGCTCTCCTCCGCTCGTGGCTATGTGTGAAGGCGTGATCAATCGGTGACAACTCCAGCCAATCAGGGAGCAGGACATGGTGAAGGTGGTGAGGTGACCCCTAATTTTTTTTACAGCGTACAAGTCAGTAATCAGTGTAATCAAGCAATAACCATGTGGGACAGAGGAACACAAACTCTGAGAGATCATGTGGTCTGAACTCAGCTGAAGAACAATCCAACTACATGCACCACGGTGTGTGTGTGTGTGTGTGTGTGTGTGTGTGTGTGTGTGTCTGGGCTGAACTCACCAAAGAGCCCTCCAGGTTAAACGTCTGGGCATTTTGACACAGCAGCATCACGTCCTTCTCCAGGTCGTTCAGGCTGCGATACTTGTGGCTCCTGATCCTTTCCTGATGGAGGGAAGGGACAAGAGAAGGCAGCAGTCAAACACACATTCGATAGCGGGATGTAAAATGTAAAATGGAGAGTCTAATTTCTTCACCACACCTTGATCTTCCTGAAGTCCACAGGTTTGCGGATGAGCTCATAGTACTCGGGCAGCTCCTTGCGAGAGGGCAGCTGGATGAAGACTTCACTCAGCTGTCGTCCGTTACTGCTGAGACAGGAAAGCTGTGTTAGTACGCTCCGCTCGCTCGGCTACATGTGTCGTGATATATCTATAACTTCTGTTGTGCCTGCAGAGATGCAGTTATGTTCTCACCCGTCCTTGTATTTGATCACAGCGTCGACAATCTTCTTCATCTTCTTAGTGAGGGAGAGGGGGTTGGGAGAGAGTTTCTCAGCAGGCGGGCGACCACGTTTCTTTGCCTTCTTCACCTCCTCGTCCTTGTCCCGCCCTCGACCGCTGCTAGAGCTGGGTGTGGCCGGGCCGTCGTGGTCGCGGTCTCTCTTGCGCTTTCTTGTTGTCTTTTTGTGGCGCACTTCCTCTTCAATGTCCTCTAGATTGCCTTCTTCTATGGCCTGTGTGGAGTAGATCTCAGGTCAGAAACTCTTAATGTTGCCAGTATAATATTTTCTAACAGCCTAACATGATAACATCCCACCTTGAGCCATTGTTTCTCAGTGAGCGAGTCACTGTAGTCCACCTCCTTCCGCTGGCGGGAACCTCTGCCGAACATCTTCTCCTCCTCTTCTTCACAAGTTAGCCTCTCAACCTCAGCGTCGTCTTTCAGAATCCAGCTGGGCATATCATCTTCCTCCATCAGACGAGGTTTCCTCTTGGGATTGCGAGCGTCCTCGCGGCGTCGGTCTAGATCCATGCGCTGAGATAAAAAAAGAAAACGGCACAGCAAGGGGGTTAGTGGGTTCAGATTTTGAAATGTCAAAGTATCTAACAACTGCAAAGGAAATGGTACTAACCATGAACTGCTCAAACTCCTCTTCGCTTCTGGCAATCATCTGGTTGACAGTCTCATCATCAGGAACCTCGTCTTCTTCCTGAACACACATGAAACAGAGGGAGTGAGAAGAAGCTAACGGCAGATTAATGTGGTACCTCAGAGCCAAGTCTCTGAACTAATGACTTATTTTCACAAAGAGCAATAAAAGTAACTCAATGTATATTAACACCTAACTTAATGAAGGTATTGTAAATATCAGTACAGGTCTTAACTACAGCTTTGCATATCAACCAGTTTGAGATATCACCAGAAGTGCATTTTAACTGTTATATGTAGGGACTAATAATAAAAAATGTTAGTGTAGGAGAGACAGTATCATATTAACCATCAAAGGTTTGTGTAGAAGCAGAAATACATGAATCCTGTGAAAAAAGGGAAGTAAGGAAAAGAGACAGAGGAGGAGGAGAAAAAAAGAGAATGAAGAGGTGAAGCAGAGCACAGGTGGATGTGGGTGGGTGGGCGATGTACGAACAGGATTAGATCACACCCACCCACGCCCCCCTAGTGCGGCAGCCACCTCGAACCCCGACCTCGTCCTGTTCCTCGTGCTCCAGAATGGCCTGTAAGAACGCCCGTCGTTCGCAGCCTGAGGACTTCTGGTCGAACATGCCAGCCTGGATGACCTTTTGGTCCACGTTCAGTTTGTACTTGGCCGCTGCCAGAATCTTTTCCTCCACGCTGTTGACGGTGCAGAGGCGAAGCACGCGAACCTCGTTCTGCTGACCGATACGATGGGCTCGGTCCTGTGCCTGCAAGTCCTGTAGGTTAAAAACATTTGACAGGGTGAGACAGAGTGATTGTGTGTGGTGACTTCTGTGTTTTTATCAGTTTCAGTATTGACATTTCTAGAGAATCCTCCCCAGGGGTCCAGGTATTGTTGATTAACATATATTGGCATGAGTACCTGATGTGGGTTCCAGTCACTGTCAAAGATGATGACTGTGTCAGCAGACTGCAGGTTGAGGCCCAGGCCTCCAGCCCTGGTACTGAGCAGGAACACAAAGTACTCAGAGGCGGGGTCATTGAATGTCTTGAGCAGCATGCCACGGTCCTCTGCCTTGGTGGTTCCTATGGGAGATGAAAGTGTGTTAAAAAGTGAATCCCAAATTATTCCAATCGAGTTAAAATTAAAAACCTATCATGAAATACTTTGGGGAGTTAATATTATTTTGTGGGAAAACGTTGATAGAAAATAGCCTCACCGTCCAGACGGAGGTACTTGAAGCTGCGGTACGCAAAGTAGTCCTCCATGATGGTCATGAGTGATGTCATTTGACAGAAGAGCAACACTTTGTGGTCGGTTGCCCTGAGCTTGGGAAGGATACGGTCCAACAGCTCAAATTTACCAGAGGAGCGGTACAGGTCAGGCCTGAGCAGGCAGAGGAAGAACATGAGCGAGAAAGGACCAATGTGCAACGTATATAACCACATCTACACACACGCTGTACAAACCCCCACGATT